TCCTCCACAACTAGACTGAAGAACAAAACAACAGCAACTTGTCTGTTCCCCTTCCCCGAATTCCCCATCGCTGTTCCCATCCCCCCAATTCCCCAATAAAAATCTTTAAAAAAAGAATAATAATAAAGTAGCCCTGAACAAAGATATGTATGTACAGTTCCTATCACGGTGACTGGTGCAGATCACGTGCTCAGTAAGTTAGCACTATACTCATTTATTACTTTTAAGTAAAATTAAGGTTGGTTTTTCCTTTAAAAAAAGGAAAAACCTCATGCCATCTCAACGCACGAGGGCAGAGTCCCTTCCGGGGCTGAACCCGTAGACAGCGTGTAGACGAGGCCGTGGGAAGGTCAGGCAGCGGCTCTCTTTAAACCTGACCACACGGAGCGCTTCATTCCCTGGGTGGCCTTCACCTCCTCCCAGTCCAGTCTGATGTCTGGAACATCTTCCTCCGGCTCCGGCTCCTTCCTCAGGGCCCCCTGGGGTGAGGCAGCCATGATGGGCAGAGGGCCACACTCATCTCGGAACTCCACAACATGGAGACGCTTCTTATCAGCCAGCTGCTGGTGGGTTTCCTAGGCAAGGCCAAATGGAGACACAGTCAGGTCTGTGAGGTGACGTGTTACTCAAAGGGCAGGGACTTCCTTCAGCCAGAGGAAGCCAGCAGCGACAGCACAGTGCCACCTGGGGGGCTTAACATACCCTTTCAGTTGATTCTGGGGTAACCTGTGTGGGTGGAATGATATTAGCCCCACCTCCCCATGCACAACGGGGCCGGAGGACAGGCCTTGGCCCCTGGCCTTCCAAGCCCACCCAATCACGTGCCAGGCCGTGCCCCAAATCAGTGTGAATCTCATCACACCCCAACTCCCAAGTCACAGGACAGGATAGGAGAGAAGACGCGAAGGACCCACAGACAAACAGTCAGCACCAGACTGAGAAACCACAGGACACACAACCTGGTTTCTTCAACAAAACACAGGAAGGACAAGAAGGGAGCCTACACATTAGAAGTGGCTTAAAAGACACGAGAAATCTCACAATGTATTGATGTAGCTGCAATCTGATTCAAACAAATGGTGTAAAAACATTTTTTTAATCTGACAAGGGGACTCTTCTATAAACACTGATGAGATGTCTGTAATACAGACTTCTGGTTAATTTTTTAGGTGAGATACTAGTATTCTGGGGTACTTTCAAATCCTTACCTTTTAGAGGTACATACTAGAATATTTATAGATGAAATAAAATGAGGTCTGAGATTTGGTTCAATAACTGGGGCTGGGTGGGGGTGGCACTGACAAATAAAACTGGCCACAAGCTGCTCCCTGCTGTAACTGGACGGGAGCACCAAGGGGATTCATGATAGAAGGTTCCATCAAAGGTCAGAAACAGGCAAATAAATTTAGCCAATGGTTTACTGATGGTACATCAAAGCATGTATTGATACGTTCACTCTCATGCTGCCAGACTTTATGCCCACCCTGGACTCTTCTAATTCTAGACACGTTTGAAAATTAGGAAGAGATGAGCTATTTCATAAAGATAAAATAAAATCATTTAAATCAGTATGTCTTATGTGTTACTTAAATTGGTGACATTTTTTTCTCTTGAGTAGCACATTAAATTATGCAACTTTTTTATAGCTGATGGTATTTGAGAAGAGGTGATCCATAGTAATTACATCAGAAGACCCAAAGCACTAACAGAACACACCACACAGGTGAGCTGTCTGTCCTTGGTCATGACCATGACCCATCTATAACCAACCGGAGTCATATCGAGCAGTTCAGTCTTTCACAAGTTTAACTTTAAAGTGCTTTTGAAGGCTGTTTTGGAGACTGTGTGTGCGCACACTCTTTAAAAAAGATCTTTTAAACAAATCCTTTTCTTTTAATGAATTTTCCTATTTTAAACAGAGACAGCTACCCTTTTTCCATGGATCATTTTATTCAAAAACCATCAAGCTCTCTCAGCGTCAGGAGGCCTGTCAAAGTCCCCAACAAATGGAGGCCAGCAGCCAATGGCGCCTTCTGAGCCTGGCCGTGTGTTCTGCCCTTCGAGCCCTGCTAAGACCTACCCACCCCTTCAAGGGACAGCCAGCCCATCCTTTGCGCTGGGGAGCAGTGACTATGAGCCTGCCCGGGCTGCGCTGTGGAGAGAAACCTGGCATGTTGGTGCTCCTGCGTCCCCCCACTCGGTGTCCGTATGAACCAGTCACGTAGGCCCCAAGCTTCTAGGGAGGCAGCTCCCATGAGTGGAGTCGGGCCGCAGGGCTCACCCCAGATCCAACTGAAAGGACGAAATTAGGAAACAACTTCCTCTTTTTACCTTAATGTTTATATTGTTGCAGCTTCAGAACAAGCATGTTTTCATAATAAAACACAGATTGCAATTACTGGCTTTTAAAAATACCTCATTTTGAAAGTTCAAAACACCCACGAAGGATTTATTAAAGGTTCACCTTCATGAACTAACTCTTCAGCGACAGCACAGCACCCGTGTCCTCGGGCGGCCCCAGGACGCAGCAGTCTCCCCATGGGGGACGGAAGTACACAGTAAAGCTCGCTGTAGAGCCACATAGCCTTACCTGGTGAGCCAGCCCGTGGAATAGGCCACGGGTGAGGTTAAGCATGTTCAGGGACCCGGACACCTTAGCGTACATGTCTCTGATGCCGATGAGACGGCAAATGGTGATGATGGCCCGGTGACATCGCAGGCCATAGCCTAGGAAAAGGAACTCAGCGTCAGTCACCCTGCTGCTCTCCCTCTAGCTCGGGCCCAGACAGCCCGTTACAGTCTGGTTTCATCACTTCCCAGCTGCTGCATGATCCTTGACAACTTACTTTACTACAAGCATGACACTTATTTAAATGAGATGTTATTTGAATTAAAGAAATACCATACATCAGCTTCTTGAACATGTGGGTAAGAAAAGAGGGCTGTTATGAAGAGTAACAGAGCTGCCTGAAAGGTCACCTTGGCGTTCTGCTAAGGACCACGGGTCGAGAAACACATCTGCTGTCTGTCACCCCCTTGCCTGCTCGGTTTCTGAGCAGAGATGTCCACTTCCTCCCCCTGGAGCCCTTCTGGCTTCGGTACCACACCTCCCTGATGTCCCTTGGCCAGTCCTTCTCACCCCCTGGCTGGCCCTCCCTCCAGACACGTGCCACACTCGGGTCTAACTATAACCCCTTTTCTAGGAACAAAGCGTTAAAAACATAAACCAAACACAGCACCCCGTTTAAAGCTCTCACTTCCCACTGTTCTCTAATTTAAAATAAAATAAAATAAAATAATAAAATACCAAGAATGGCACCCCCACGAGCCCTCCATGACCAGCCGGCTCACTGAGACCGCCTTCCTGGTGTCCTCCCACTTTGGGAACTTTGGACTTGGTGCTTCCTTCTCCCCACACGGCTCCTTCTCCCCTTCAAGGTCTCACTCAAAGACCTCTCCTCCTCAGAAAGGCCTTCTTTGACCCTGATACTCAAGTCAGCATCCCCACAAAACGGCACCTTGACTGCTGTTTCAGGCCTCGGCAGAACCTGTCACCCGTTATTCCCTCAGCAGAATGTGGGCTCTGTGAGAGCCAGCTATGGTTTGTTTACTGCTGTGTCCCCAGAGCCTAGATCAGTACCTGGCAAGTGCAGGGGGAGTGAGGGAGAGAAAACAGCCCCGTGTTTAGCAGCGAACATTCCGGAGAGCCAGATGTGAACACGCCCTTGCCCTGCCCCACTAAAGGCAGAGACCCTGCCCTGAAGTTCAACACTGACTGTGTTCTGATTCTTGTTGGTGATTCAATATACGCGTGTAAAGCTGTATATGGATACATGTGGGTAACATATTCACACCAGAGCTGTCCTTTCTACTTGAAAGAGGAGATTAATTGTGGACTCCATAGCTGTGCCAGGTCATTCGAGAATGGAGGACTTGAGAGGGTGCTTACAACAAGTAACACTGGGGTGGCCTGTTGTCCTGTGTGGAGTGACACACAGAACATGTGTCCCTGTGTGAACAGTGCACACATGTGCTGACGTGTGTGGAGGCACACACACATGGAGAGCGGTGCACATGCAAGGGAATGAAGGCAGACCCACCGTGCCACTGCCCAGTAGGTGACCTGGCGTGGTGCTCAGCTGCTGGGACATCCACTCAGCAGACCTGATGGGGGCAGCCGAGCAAGGTGTGAGTGCTGCCCAGCACCTGGGCCATATGTGACACTGCATGGCTGATAGCCACTGCTTTGCAGAACTTATCAACAACATTAAGTGAGAACTTACTGTACTTTGTGAAGACTTCCGGGGGGACTGTGTCAAAAAACACCTCTAATAAAAGCTAAATTAATGTGTGTTGTACGGTTAATGCCTTGCAGTGCTGTGTGAGGAATACATACTGCCCTGCAGCCAAGGCAGGAGTGTCCCGTGGGGACGTCACATTCTCCACCCCCTCTGGGAGACCCACACTACACAGCAGTGCATTAAAGGCTGCAACACTTATGAAGGCACACAGCAACTTCTGGCTGTCCTTACCCAGCTCCCAGCTGGCACTCTTTGGAGCAGCGCATATTGATATGTCCTCCTTGTGGAAACAGTAACGCACAGCAGAAGTTAGGACAGGCTGTCTATAATGTATTGCACTATTTTAGCTTCAAAATCAGAATATCTAGCCCCATTGTACAGGTCATGGGTTAGGCTATAGAGAAACCTGAGCAATACAGCATGGATTAGAAGACGGGGGAAGTAAAAAACAGTAACCTCTGCAATTAAAATGGGGGCAGTCCTTTGAGTCGCCGACGATGGCGTAGGTTGTAGCCCCTGCTGCAGTGGGTTGCCATGGGCTACAGTGAGTAGCCAGCAGCCAGCGTGAGTAGCCAGCAGCCGCTGTGAGCGGCCATCCAGAAGCCGGCGACTGATCTGCCTCACCCAGGAAGAGCGCAATGATGGTGCCAACTTAGGCCAGTGAAGCAACATCCTCCACAACTAGACTGAAGAACAAAAGGACACAACTTGTCTGTTCCCCTTCCCCCAATTCCCCAGCGCTGTTCCCATCCCCTAATTCCCCAATAAAAATCTTAAAAAAAAAAAAATGGGGGCAGTCTTTCCAAAATCGTTTAGATATAAATGTGTCTCAGCCAACACTGTCCAACAGAAATATGACAGCCATGAATGCAAACCATATATGTAATTTAAAATAGTGTCAGATGCATTAAAAAAGGTACAAAAAAGGTAAAATTAATTTTTATAATATATTTTATTAGCCCAATGATGTCGAAAACATTTCCTATAACTCTAGGCATATCTTAAAAAGTGTGGATCAGAGGAAGGTAAAACATTGTATTTCAATGTGCAATCAGTACAACAGTATTTCTGAGCTATTTTACATTCTTTTTGCATTCTGACTCTTTGAAATCCAGGGTGTATTTGACACAGCAGACCTCAGCAGCTACACAGGCTGGTAGCTACCATAAGGGACAGTGCGGGTCCAGGCCTTGATGTCCACATGTCCCACTCAGGACTCCTTGTAGTGATAAAGTAGGTGGTTTTCACCAGGCATGTGAACGACTAACTCTGGCCTTCCAGCAGAAGGCAAGGTCTGGTACACTCACATAGCTGCTCCTGTACTTTGCTTTTCTCCATTTATTTCTATGCCAGGGCACCAGCAGTTATACCAGAAGCTGTGACAGCAACAACTTAGATACAATGTTTCACCTTCTTCTGATCCAAACTTTTTAAGGTTTACCTAGAGTTATATGAAATCATTTTTCCTGTAGAACCACAGGCAAAATGCAAATCAGAATGTTCAAGAATGCTACACCCAGAGTGCACTGGGCATGACTGCCGCAGCCCCACTACCGTGAACTCTTGCCTTCCGGCCCACTCTCCCACCATATAGGAAGAAGGCCCATCTATGCACCCCCAGAGCCTCGTGTGCCACTGGGTGGCTCAGAAGATGTTCAATTAATACTGGATGGTAACAGGAAGTGAATAATCTATAACAGGATAGTCAGTGAATTCTCTAGGGAACTAATGTTCCCACTGGCCCAAACCCAATCACTCACTCCGCTGCTACTGCCTATTCCTAATGTGCTCTTCCCACCTAGAATTACTCCTGGGACAGGCTGTGCTCACGGGAGCCGGGCAGGTTGACTACATTATGTCCCAGAGCCTTAGCCATATTTTTTTTTTTTTAAGATTTTTTTTTTTAATTGGGGAATTGGGGGATGGGAACAGCGCTGGGAAACTGGGGGAATGGGAATAGACAAGATGCTGTCTTTTTGTTCTTCAGTCTAGTTGTGGAGGACGTTGCTTCACTGGCCCAAGTTGGCACCATCATCATTGCGCTCTTCCTGGGTGAGGCAGATCAGTTGCCGGCTTCTGGACAGCTGTTCACGGCGGCTGCTGGCCGCTCATGCTGGCTGCTGGCTACACACGGTAGCCCATGGCAACCCACTGCAGCAGGGGCTGCAGCCTACACCGTCTCCAGAGACCCTTGGCAGCCCAGTTCCAGGTTGAGCTGTTGTTCAGCATCTTAGCTGTAGAGGGCAGTGTCACTGGCCCTCATATGTGGGATCCGAACTGGGGCCCTCTGGCGTCCCAAGCCAGCTCTTAACCAACGCGCCACTCGGCCGGCCCAAGCCTCAGCCATCTTAAATCTGACAGGCCTTTCCGTTTGGCATTTTCAAAACGAGTTCAAATAAAGGTGAGCAAAGGTAGAGAATGGAACAGGATGGAACTGTTCCAACCAGATGCAATGCTATAACTGCTCTATCTTCAACAAATTAGTAGAGCTTTTTAGTTACCTCTGGGTTGTTTCTTCATCTTGATATGTGTCCTTTTAAACGTTAAAGAGATATCATGGAATACTGGAGGGTAAAAACACAAAGATGAGCAGGATTAGATGTGTGGCTTTAATGCCTTGTAAACATCACAGAGCAGCTAACAGGACCCTAACAGGACCCTAAAAGGAACCTAAGCACACAGCAGCCAAGGACAAGTAACAAAGTCTGATGTCACCCATCACCACCTTCTCAGGAGAGAAAGTTTGTTTCTACATTTTATATGTTTATTTTAAGAATGTAACAACAAGCAGAGATACCACCCTAGAGATATATTGCCACATATAATGAACAAACATCACCATGAAAATTTTAAAAGAAAAGATAAACACTCACTTGTATGGTCTTCATACCGTTCTATATAATGCAAATAGTGAACTGCTCTGTTCTTTGCCTGAAAGAAAGAAGGGAAATACTGTTCTTAAACCTACTGTTGGAATTTATATTTTCTCAGAGATTTTAAAAAATACCTTTCATAAAATATTTTATTAAGGAAAAGTTCATATTTACACAACAATTTCAATATACACTTCTAAAAGCTAAGGATTTAATAAAAAAAAATCCTAACCACAAGATCACTATCACACCTCAAAAAATTAACAATTCCTTAGTGTCCTGAACCTTGAGTTGGAGTGAGACATTCTCCCAGTTGCCTCACAGTTTTGGGAACAATCACAAGTCAGATGAAATGACGTGAAAAAGCACGGGAACTTCTGACACTGCTCTTTGTGAGGCATGGAAACTCTGAAGGGAAGCCTCAGGGGAGGGTTCTCTTCATTTGCTTTATTTTATGGGTGATTCCCACAGTGTCTAGCACATAGCTTACTGATCTCTTGCTGTCAACAAAGGAAAAATGTACATACTTTTCTGAAAGCATCCATCCGTTCAGTGGCTTTCCCAATGGCAAACCCTTAAAAAGAAAAAGCCAAAATATGAAAAGGGGAATCAATTTGGCATGTGATGTCTTTCACCACATTTCAAGTTTCAGCTCCCACAGTATTTCATATCATTTCATTTTCCTTCTGCCCACAGAAAACCGGCTATCCAAAACAAATGACAAAGCATGAGGCTACAGAGGTTCGCTTATCTGTTTTGGGGCATTTTGGAAACAGTATTATTTATAGTATCTATGAAATCCATAACATCACTTCTTATAAATCGCTAGGTAAAACTAAATATACTCAAAAAATAAAAACCAACCACACCCTAAATTAATAAAGTACATGGTTTTGAACATTTTTGGAAGTAGATGACAATAACCAGAAAAGTTGGGGAAAACATACATTGCTATAGAGTAAAACCATGATTTCACTGGAACTTTCAAATGCAATTCAGAGTTCAATGAACTAGGAGATAAAGTCAAGGATTCTTGAGTTTGTAAATGCCTAACCAGTAAAATGAGGTTTAATCCCAAGTCAATGGAAATGCCTCCACTGTTTGCTGTCACCATTAATTATTTATTCTAAAGAACATACATGTTTAAATAATACACAGGAAAGTAACATAAGACAATACTGCTCCATGAGATATATAAGACATCTGAGAACCTGGGACAAATGGACTCCAACTCCAAGTTTAAACACAACAAACTAAACCATACAAGTCCTAGAGGAAAATATGAGTGAACTTTATAATCTTCATGTGAAGGTTTTCTAAGCACAAAACCAGAAAACCAGACACCAAACTAGGAGTAAAAAAACGCTGATAAACTTGCTCTATAAAGGTTTAAAACTTCTGTGGATTTAAAACTTTCACATGGAAAAAATTAAAAACTAAATCAAAATATATAATCGACAAAGGGCCAAGGTCCTTAACTTATCAAGAGCTGATACCATCAGTAAAAAAAAGGGCAATCACCCAAAGGAAAATGGGCAAAGCACATGAACCAACAGATCTAAAGGGGAAATAATAATGGGCAATAATCACGTAACATGGTGTCCAAACTCTCCCAACTAAAGAAATGTAAATTAAAATTAAGAGGTATGTTTCACATGATATTGACGATCAGTAACGTCTGATTATATCCAGGGCTGGCAAGGGCGCAAGGGTACAGATGAACCTTCTGAGAGGATTCTGGTGACATTCAAAATGCAACAATTTCACCACAAGAAATTTCCCCTATCAATATTCTTGCAAAAGTACAACAAATTACATATGCAAGAAGCTCTTTATATAAATACTACAAAACTGGAAACATCAATATTCAGCAATAGGGAAAAGGTAACAAAAATTATATTTATCCACACAATGGAACACTATGCAATCAACACAAAGAATGAAGAGGAATCTATGCTAATTCAGGAAGATCTCTGGATGTAACACTAAGCAAGAAAAGTAAGGTACAAAATGATGAGTATAATATGATCCCTTTGTGCAAATTTTTTTTTGAATTTTTGTGAGTTTGAATTTTGAGCCAAACTGATGCCATGTGCTAGGGAGCTAGATCTCAAATGCTCCCAAATTTTGTTAAAAAGATGTGAATTTCTGGAAAGATACAAAAGTATCTGTTAAGACTGGTTTCCTTTGGCAACATACTATCCATATGTATTACTTGTTTTGAAAGTGTCAATGTGGGTTAAACAGATAAGTTTTCTTTCCCTTACACATTCAGGTATTCATTTCAAAAACAGATGTTCACTATGGAAACTTTACAGAAAAGTATAAAGAAGCAAATTTAAATGAATGGCAAACGCATGAATGAGAGTAAATGCTATTAACCTTTCAGTGTATATCCTTCTGGTCTTCTCTTTGCATATAAACATACTTTTAAAAAACTGGGATTATAGTCAATCTTATAAATACGAAGTGTTTTTTCACTTAGCACTATTATGTAAGTAAATTTCCATAATTCTTTAGTGGCAACAGAATATTACAATGTATCGCTGTACTCTTTTTGTAATGATACTGTCAGAACATTTGGCAGTTTTTTTCCCCCTAATTTTTCACTATCCTACATAACACAGTAGTATCTTAAGCCTTTTATTTATTTATTTTTATTTTTTGTTTTTTTTTTTTTTGGTGGGGGGCTCAGGATGGGGAGGGGAAATGGAGAGTGACTGATTAATGAAGGTTTCCATTCGGGGTGATGAAATAGTTCTGGAGCTAGACAGTAGAGGTGGTTGCATATAACATTGTGAATGTGATAAATGCCATGGACTTATACACTTTAAAATTTTACCACAATAAAAAGAAAATCTGAGACAACAAATATTTTAGAATGTATGTAGGGAAACTCGAGTTTAGTTTGGGACATGTTAAATTTGAGATGCCCATTAGATATTCACGTGGAGCTGGATGGAGGAATCTGGAGCTCAGGGGAAAATTCAGGACTGGAAAGAGAAATCTGGAAGTCGTTAGCATAGGGATGGCATTGGAAGACGGAGGGCTAATGAGACTACCTAAGAAGGCAGTGTAGAGAAAGAAGAAAGGGAAGACTGAGTACGGGGCTACCTCAATACAAAGTCAGGGACAGGAAGTGGAGCCAGCAAGGCAGAGTGGGCACACTGGCCCCACAAAACAATAGGAAAGTCAAGAGGGTGTGGCATCTCCAGGAAGAGAGCATTTTGTGGGGGAAGGGTGCCAAACTTATCAGTTGCTGCTGAGAGATGGAGTAAGAAGAACACAGTTGGATTTTGTGCGATGGAGGTTGGTCCCTGTAATCTTTACAAAGTCATTCTAGGTGGTTAAGTGCATTACTGTACTCAAATGTACTTGCTTAAAAATTTTTTTTTAATTTCTGAAACAGATGTATTAAAATTTTCCACTATTATTATAGATTGATCAATTTTAATTTCTTGCATTTCTAATGTCTTTTTGCTTTTCAAATTTTTAAGTTCTGTATTAAGTGAAAAAGTGTTTTTTTTCTCTCTCTTTGTTTTTTATTGTTAGTTTCAGGTGTACAAAATAATGCAATAGTTATCCTTTTCACCCTTCACATAGAAACAACCCCCCTCCCTTGTCTTAAGCCTTTTAAAATATCCACTGTCCTCACAGTAAAGGGCCCATGTAGGAAGATCTGTATCTTTCCCCTCTGAGGGCTCTATGGGTTGACCACAAGGTCTGTGAGCCCAAACCCGAAAAGGTTCCATCAGTAGAAAGCGCTTGGATAGCAGCATGAACCTATGGGCCAGAGCGGAGTGCAAGCCACGCCTGCCCCCTCTGCCACCAGCAGCACGTGCCATTCACCTGCGGCTCCTTTGCCGTTCCCCACGGCGACCAGGACACGGACAGATCTCTTTCTTCCTTCTTTTGCTGTCATGTTGAAAACATTTCTGACCTAAAAGACAAAATGTTTCATAAATATTACACCTTAAGACAAATCTGAAGCAGGGAACTGGAGTGGCCTCCTTACACATGTACACACACACTATAAAGCTCAGTCTACCCATTTTAATGAATGTACACCAAGGAAAAAGGCTGCTGATTAAACTTTGACAAAGTTTATAACTGATTGGGTATAAGACATGTCCCAGTATCAGAGAGGTTAAAATATGAAACAATGTGCATCTCAGAAATGATAAAATGCAGTACATAGAATGAGCATAGGACTGGATCTCTACATTAAGCAGTAGGCTCACCTGAGGACAGAAAATTTGAACTACAAAAAAACCTGCATATTGGTGGGGCGGATATTTAAAGGGCCAGGACCATGAAACTGTTGACTAAACCACTGACATGGCATCCCCTTTCCCATAAATTGAGGTTAAAGGAAAAGGGAGCTGGAGTCCACTCCTGTGGATCATCTTACAGGAAATCACCCGGACAGATGACGTTTTCAAAGGGATTCACTTCCAAAAGGTATACACTGGGATCCTAAGACAAAATTCTTGTATTTTAAACTCCATACTACAACTAGTATTGAAGAAATACACAAACGGAATCCCAGACTCAATGCATGACTACTCCACGTAGAGGTTAGCACTGACTATTTGGCACTAGTCCCAGGGGAAAACACCCTGGAAAGCGGCTGACATTTACCCGATATAGACCTCAGTTTCCGGGGCCTGCTGGGTGACCCCCATCACGAGCTGGACACTCACAGCAGCTCCCACTTTCCACCCCGCCCATAGCTCCTCCCAGCCTCTGTTCCCTGAACCAATGCCAGATACAGCTGGTATATAACTCCAGGATAGCTTGCTAGTGCTACTTTGGCATTAGAAAGGAGAAAGTCAAGATGTAATCACCAAATTCTGTTACCGTTGATGCCACAAAAGCTGCCTTGTCAAAAGGGCAGCGGCAGTCAGGAGAGTCGGTATCAAATGACAAGTTCAAGTTTCATTATTTTCTTACCTGAATCAGCTCTCTGTCTCAGAAAAAGGCCCGCATCAAGGTTTTCCTCACAGTTCCTTTTGCCCTACCCCCACTCCACCGGCCCAACTTGCCCACGTTCTCCAAAGACCTAAGTGGATACTGAATTCTGCATGCCTACCTCAAGTATCCTGGTGTCAAAATCATCATAGGTTTCTGCAGAGAAGAAAGAAACAGGCATACAGACATGTGTATCCAAATAATCAGTGCATGAAGCATTTTCAGCACGGGCACCATCATGACGTTTAAGTGAGAAAGAATCTCGGGTCTCTTGCAGCTACCTCGCAGGCCACACCCCGGTCCTCCAGCACTAAATTCACAAGCTTGACCTCAGCTCCCTGACAGTGTCCTCCTGCCCCTGCAGCTCTCTCACTCAATAGCTGCCCATGAGATGATGCCTGGAGTTCCCCAGCACCTCCAGACTCTTGGCCACTATTTTCCCTTCCCTCTCACCCTCTGGTCCCACTCAGCCAAAACACGACAGTCCACCATTTCCACCAGGCCTTGTGCATGTCCCCACCTCCCTCTTCTCCAGCATACGTCTAGGCCTGAGTCAATGAAACTGTCCGGCCCCAGCTGGCCTGCTGGGTGCTACTGGAGAGAAGTCAGAGCAGGGTACATGCGTGGGCCTCTAACCTTTGATGGGCTGCAACTCAATCGAGTGTTCCCTGCTGTCTGTCAGTCATTTTAGTCAGGCCTCTCTCTACTCACCACACAGCCACTCAAACATGCTCTGTGTTCTTTTATTAATGTTTTACTATAGAAAATTCAAATCATATACAAAAATAGAGAGAACAGCCAAATGACAGCTTGTGTATCCATTAGCCAGTTTCAACAATTACCAAGTCATGGTCAGTCTTCTTTCCTCTAAACCAGCGGTTCTCAACCTGTGGGTCGTGACCCCTTTGGGGGTCGAACAACCCTTTCACAGGGGTCGCCTAAGACCATCAGAAAACAAAAAGATATTTACATTACGATTCATAACAGTAGCAAAATTAGTTATACGGCAGCAACGAAAATAATTTTATGGTTGGGGGTCA